AACAAAGCATTTTCATAAAATCCAAGAATAATTGAGAATGTAGACACTTGTTTGTGTGCTAATAATTAGGTCAGGTTCTTTGATCAGCACAGAAAACAAGACAATACTGTAGCTTTGACAACTCACAATCGAAAAATAAAAGCCCCCGCTCACTTGCAATACACCTGACGGTGTTTTTTCTTTGTTAAGTTATGCCGTACTCACATGCTGCAAAACCTGTCAACACGAGCAAGAACAATCTCTTCTAATGAGTAAGCCTTAGGGAAGCAGTGGTATAGGCTTCTTACAGACTGGATTAGTGAATGTGGTGGTAAGGCTGTCTCCCGAGGGTGCTTACATCTACACTATCAGAGTCACAGTGACTTCGTTGTCAAGGTCAAGCAAATGAGTCAGGTGGGATGGCTCACTGCAGGCAGAGGGAGCACAACTGTCCTCCATCCGTCACGGCATGATACAGCTTGACTGTGGTGACTTAATGCCACTGAGCCATTGTGGCTCAGCGGTTAGTGCTGCCATGTCACAACGAGAAGGGCACAGGTTTCATTTAGGTTCTTTGAGGAGTGTGTTTAATCTCACCATTCTGGCACTGGTTTCAGTCAGGTGCCTTAAATATTTTTTTTTCCTTTCTTAATGAACCGTAAACAGAAATGAAAATATCATATGAGGAAATTACTACAATCAAGCCATAGTTTCCATTTATCTTTGCGCCAGAATGTCACTGGGCAAGATGCCTTGCAAGCTGTTTGCAGGGAATTGTGAATATAACAGTTAATACTTTACTGTTGCTTCCATTACAGCTATATCAGCAGTGATATCTTGGGAAAATAAGATGCTTAGTGTGTGAGAAATAGTGTGTCCCAGTAGGCAAGCTTCCATAACCACCACAATAGTCAGAGGGATAAGCCAGCACAGCTCTAATTAGTTCAACAGAGGAACTTTTAAGGGCTGCATCAGAGCCAGGGGCTGAATAAATACATATAAATCTCCAACAGAAAAAAAAATCAGAGTAATATTCCTTTCATTGCGATCAGCATTAACCTGAAGCACTCGTCTGCTTTGCTCTACAGTGTGTGAGAGCCTTTTTCTGATAAGCTAGATACACCTATTGAATTTGCTGATTAAAGTCATATCAGGCAGTGCTCCTGACAGCTGTGCAAAGATACAAGTCTGAAGTCTGTGGAATCATTTTCAGAACACCACAAGTTTCCCACACCAGAAAGGATGAATGCTACACAGCTGCATCAGAAAAATTATTTCATATCCATGCTAAAATGGTTTTCATTTAAAAATGAGGCTTCTTTCTGGTGAGATGAAGCTAAGGCCCCTTGAGTGATTTACTCACTTTCTCTGGAAGCTCTCAGGCTGCCTGGAGAACTAGAGGCTCCTCCATCACTGCCTCCTTCACTCTAAAAGCCCAGCAGAAGACCCTCATAAAAGCATGAGCCATCACTCGTACTCCTGTTTCACACTCTGCAGAGTAGATGTTTTTTCATCTTCGACCTTAACTGGTCATCTTACACTCTTAAAAATGCTGGGTTATTTTGACAATTCAACTGCTGGGTAAAAGCCGTAGGTTTGTAAGTTGGGTTATTGTGACCAAATATTGGTTCAAAAGTCATGACTCAGGAGTTGGGTTGGTAATGTGCCAGGTTCTTCAATTCACTCCACAGCTTGACTAATAGGTTGGGCAGCTTTGATAAAATATTGGGTCAAATTTTTACCCAATTGTTAGGGTTGAAGATAAGCCTGAGAAGAAGCCACATCACTCTTCACAAACTGCCTTTTTCAATTCTTCTCCACTACTATGAAATAAAACATGGTAAGTAAAAAGTGAATTCTAACAGTTTGAAAATCATAGGGTTGATAATACAATTTGTTGGTTTAATCTAGACCTTTACCTACTCGTTAAAGGTCTTTTAACAGATAACACCTGCCAGCTTGTGATGAAGAAAGCTATTTCTACTTAAAAATACTTGATATCATCGTTTAAATTTATTACTTGAAATGAGGCTAATGTTGCTCTGTTTGACAAACTATTTAGAGATCACTGTATGTAGAACAAAGAAAGTATGAGATTGTGTGTTGCATTTGTGTGAAAAAGGTAAAAAAAAAAAAAGAAAAAGGAACACAGTCTATCTAAACTATTTACCTCGGTAGCTTTAAGGTCCACCACTCCAAAATTTACGTGTAATCAAAGTAAAATAAAACAAAAAACAAAAACAAATTTACTGACTCCTAAATATCATTTGTATTAAGCCTTTTGGCTTAATTCAAAATCTTGGGCCCATTAAAAAACTCTTCTCATAAGCTGGCAACAAACAATACTGCTAACTCAAGCAAACTAACCTAACTAAACGAGACAAAGGGGAAACTTAAACAGTGGCTGATCAGCCAACAAAAACACAGAAAGGTGTAGAACACACAAAACCCAATTAAAACTAACATAACAAATTTGATTTCCCCCCATGCTCCCGAGCAGTGGTATGACCCAATTTGCAGGTCTCCACATAAGCTTGCTCCGCCCCTTTTCCACCTTTCAGCTCATCAACCAAGGGACTGGGAGCAGCTGCCACTGAGGTAACTCAGAAAACAAAGAAAGATTAAATCAGACATACATAACAGTGAAAACTAAAATGTGTGCACTTATTTTAGAATACAGTATTATGTAATTGTATAAGTAAATTCATTCTAAACTAAAACCAATTCTTTATTAGCCTGTAAATTAAATCCTACATTTAAAGAAAGAAAAATATAAGTGTAGTGTTATGGTTAAGCTTCTGATGTTTGGTAGACATTAGCACTGTGTGGCTGAAACTGCAGCCATCACAAGTAGATTCAATTATTCTAAAATTACCTTAAAAGTGTTTTAACTTTAATTATTTAACATAGGAACATCCGTGAGGTACATGAGGGGGACATCTTTGGTTGCCAGTCTTGAGGAACACCATATCCATATATGAGGGATGGAGGGTCCAAATACTTATTTTACACTTAATAGAGCGCTATGGAGAAAAGTGAGTATTTCTTGTACATAAACTAAATAAGTTATAAGTTGTTTTTTTTGTTTGTGTTGGTTTGTGTGGCATTTTCACTGTGGCTACATTTAGGCTTCTTGGTCAGAAGAAGGACACTCCTGGGACACTGCACTGTGCTGGCCCAAGTAAAATGACTCCAGTGGCAGCTCCTAAAGTGTGTGCGCTGGGGTGATGAAAACAAAGAGGACCAGTCAAAAATGTTTGATTTCTTCTATTTTTCCAAAGCTTCTGCTCTTTGTACTCGTTTATTTTACAAGAAATCTACAGAAAAGTAAAGTTTTTGCTTATCCAATTTAATTACCTGCAACTGTTTTTGCTTTCAGCCTAACTTCAGGAATAAAGGCAATTTTAGCATCATGAATAGTAGATCAGTTTCCATGTTTAAAGGACTGCCATGGCACAGGACTTCAATGGATACACACAACAACAATTAAAAAACCTAAATATTGGGCAGTTTTTCAATCAGTATACTGAGTGTCATTGTGATTATAAAAATAAATATACAATTTGTGTGTACTCAGTTTCCATATCTTTAAAAGATGCATGCACATTATATGTCACTCATTCAAGTGACATCTTCAGTCATATGCACATTATAGATGCATAAATAATAACATTTGTTTAAATCTATTGCGAAGTTGGCAAAAAGGTTTGTACAACCTTGTGACAGTGTAAAGTGTATGAAACATAATACTTGATCTTGGTTTAGTCCATCTCCTAACAATTAATTGCCAGCATTCACAACCACAGACTGGTCTACTTTGTTGTTGTTTTGTCCTCTCTGAGCAAATGTCAGGCATAGTGTTGGCGCTCACAGCTTCAGGATTACAGACAACTTAACATTAACCAAACAACTACGACTCAAATATGATCAAATGAATGAGGGCTCATTTAGCTATGGAAGCGTAAAATGTTGCTCATAAAGGTGCATGAAATGATCTGAGAGAGAGATTCCCTCTTGCCACTTTTCCAAAGTGTTGATGCATGTTAAGTACTGAAAAAGTCATCAATTCATCAGTTTTTTTTTTTTTTAAAGTTAAGAGTTTTTACATGTAATTTGTTCTATAAACAGAGCTGGCTTGACATAGCATGTCTTTATGTGTATTAACATGTACATGTTATGTAACCAAAGACTAATTTGAAATAATTGATATAATATAATGAATTATATACTTTTTTTTACATGCATGTAACTTTAATTGATATATTTTTTATGAATTTGCTGTCCATGTTTTATGTATCATACGGCAATAAAAAGATTTTTTGAGAAAATCTGTTTTGAATCTAGTTTTCATTAGCTGAATTTTATAATAAGTAGAAATCTTAACCCAAATATTAATGGTAATATAACCCATGTGATGGGTTCTGACTTTCGACCCAATGTGTGGTAACCTCAACTTCAAACATTGGTCAATTTAACCCAATTTTTTGATAGATATCCTAACCCAGTGTGCTGGGTCAAACCAGTAACCTAACCCTGTTAAGTTGAAACAACCCAGCGTTGGCTCGATCCATATTTGACCCAGCATTAGGTTACTGATTGGGTCATTTTTAACCCAGCATTTTTAAGAGTGTACAACAACAGCAGCAGCTATTGCATACACTTAACTACTAGGGGTGTGACGATACACAAAATTCACGGTTCGGTTCGGTTTGATACTTTGGTGTCACGGTTTGATATTTTTTCGATACAAAAAAATGTTCATGCCTTTTTAATTTGTCATTTATTCAAATTATAAATATATATTTTAACTCAAAAATACAGTTTTTAAATTTAATGTTGCTGTAACAGCAAAATAATAAAAAATAAATAGATCTATCTGATCGAGAAATCACTCATCTTTGGAAAAGAGAGTTTATTACAGAGAAAGGTCTCTTTCCAAAATAAAAGCTATACTATACGCTTCTTCTGGGCTATATTCTCAGCGGCATATTAAACATTTCAGGTCCCCATAAGGACTAAACGACTCAGGTAAAGTTTGTAGCATGCGTGCTTGTTGTTTTTGTCTGCTTCCACTTGTCTTTGCACTAGGATGATGTCGGTGTAAATGTGCAGTCATATTCGTTGTGTTCCCACTAGTGCTGTCAGTGTTAATCTCGTTAAAATGACGTTAATGCCATAACGCGGCAAATGTCCGTTAACAAGTTACCGCGGATCGCCCTGTGCGTGGGGCTGGACGGCGTCAATACTTTAACAAGCTAACTGCGCTAACGCACTAGTTCCCACCAATTGAGCATTGCGTGGCACATCCGACATACTGTTTTACTTTTGTCCATGACGCGCTTACCATCAGGGTCATGCTTCACATGAAAATCAAAATAGTTCAAAACGCCAGATCTGAATGAGGGTGGGGGAGGCTCAATTTGGGGTAGCGTTGATCCGATATTACGTATCGGTATCGGTCCGATACTGACCTAAATTACTGGATTGGATATTGGAGAGAAATAAAAAATGTAATCCGATCCGAAGTATCACAAAATCACCTCACAAAACGCGCTACTTGGCGTAACCCAGCTCGGTGCATTGGAGCACTATGTGTCACGTGATAGAGTGGTTGTTGTCTGCGAGAGCTGTCGGCGGTCTGTTGGAGCATTTGGAGCCTCCCTCTCCTGTTATTACTTCAAACATGAAACTGATCAATGATCAGCTGATCGGCTTTTCTGCCGCAAGTCCCGTCTTTCTTGTTTGTTTATTGCCCACTTTGTGCTAGAAAGAGGAGACCAGCGGATAAACAACAGCAGCACGTTTAAGCGTGATAAGCTGTTGTTAGACTGTATTTAATATTCATTTCTAGTATCAGCTGATGTTTGCTGGAGCCACGGCTGTAAACCTGCTGGTCATGATATTGGTTTGGATATGTGGTGAGAGGGAAACATGAAGATGAAACCAGGAAATGTCCTTACTAAATCATCAGAGCTGAGCAGGTGATGGAGAAACAGGTTTACCTTTTAGGTGACATGAATGAGTTAAAGTTATGAACTGTTTCTGAGAGACAAATAACACCAGGATCCTTTTTCTATGTAGCTGACAGCTGGTCAGTGCAGGGGCGGATCTAGCAACGTTTTGTCGGGGCCAGGTTGGGCATTAACAGGGAAAAGGGGACACAAAGAAATATTTTTCTTTGTTATGTCATTTAAAAATTTTGAATAAAGAATTATCTGAATCTTACAACAAAAGTGGTCATCTGATTAAATGTATAGAAATCCATTATTGTATATAGTAACTAATAAGTCTAATATACACCCTAGTAAGCTATAGTACTTTTTCCTTTGGGAAGGTACCATCTGTGCAGTCTGCAATTCTGTTGAAGAAAGATGTTGAATCTATTTAAATATTGTAGAAAAATAATTGATTTCTGTGCATTTGTTTTATACGTGCATTAAATTAAAGTTGATTACATCGATTAAGGGCGGGGGGTGGTTCCCTAATATTTTTGCTGGGAGTTGGCAACCCTATTAGTTAGTTTGCCTAATATTTCCACTAAGTACTCTTTAAAATACCAGAATAGGGAGGATGGTGTAAGTTTAAATTTATTAGATTGATCAGTGTTGCTGAACTATAAAATGTTTTGGGTGCAGTGTACAGTATTTTTTGCATACAGGTATAACAGAATACCTTCAGTCTCTTGTTTTTTAAAACTTGAGTATGAACTTATACAAAATGCAGCAAGATATTTATAAAAAACTGTTTTATTGATTACAAAATACGCTATATCGGATTCATATCGGTATTGGTCAGTGTTGGGTAAGTTACTTTAAATTAGTAACTTAGTTACATTACTAGTTACTTCTATCAAAAGTAACTCAGTTACTTCAAGTTACTCGTTACTTTCAGAGTAACTAGTTACTAGGGAAAGTAACTTTGGTTTTACTCAGAATTCTCTTGTTAATGTGTTGCTTCCGTAACTGGATACCCAGCAAGATTGCCAGTCTTCTAGCTTGCTTACTTGCCACAAGTGCACTGTGCCACCTACCAATAGAAAGGAAAAAATAATGTGCACATTTCCACGAGAGAAATCCCACGCCTGATTCTATCCTAGCTTGCTTTTTACATCCAACACAACAACTGCAGTCGTGGTGCTTTCGATTGTACTCAGAACTCGGAAATTCTGCCTTCTGAATAGAAAGATGTAGTTAACACCAGACTGAAGATGAACTGCATACAGGGCTGGACTGGGACAAAAAAATCGTCCCAGGCATTTTGACTAGAGACCGGCCCGCCATTATAGGAAAAATCATAAAGCCTTTGAATGAAAATAAACACTGTTGTGACAGTGATGTACACTGTTCTGATGGTATATATGTATCAATCTATCAATTGTTTGTTGCAAGACTTAGAAAAGGATCCCGGTGTTATTTGTCTCTCAGAAACAGTTCATAACTTCCCTTCAACTCATTCATGTTAACTAAAAGGTAAACCTGTTTCTCCATCACAGCTCTCATGATTCAGTAAGGACATCTCCTGGTTTCATCTTCATGTTTCCCTCTCACCACATAACCAAACCGATATCATGACCAGCAGGTTTACAGCTGTGGCTCCAGCCAACATCAGCTGATAGTAGAAATTAATATTAAATAAATTCTAACAACAGCTGATCACGTTTAAAAGTGCTGCTGTTGTTTACCGCGACATCCGCTGGTTTCCTCTTTCTGGCGCAAAGTGGGCGATAAATAAACAAGAGAGAAAAGCCGATCAGCTGATCATTGATCAGTTTCATGATTAAAGTAGCAACAGGAGAGGGAGGGGGAGAGAATGAGAGAAGAAGAGGCAGCTGTGCAGCAAAGACACAGAATAACTCCAGCTTTGTGTCTTTTTCATTGTAGCTGAAGTCCGGGACAAACTGTGTTCCTTTTCACCTCAATACGAAACGCATGATATTTTCTCTGAATACGAGACGATTCCGTTTTTTACGGGACGGTTGGCAACTCTAATAATTAACCTTATGAACAAAATAAAGTTCAACATCAGTAACATAGCACCACCCAGCTGTATAGAAACTCCGTCACGCTAGCTAGCACGCACTACAAAAAGTCAGCATATCGAAAATAAACTCCACCTAAACTTGGTTCATATCTGACCCAGATGGACTGCAGGTTATAACTTCTTACCTGAAGTTCAGTTCACCTGACACTCTCGGACCAGCGGCCGCTTCGGGTCTCTCCTCTTGCCTCCCTTTTCCTTCATCCACCTGCTGGCTTCCACCACTTGCTAATGTTATTGAATCTGTGGAAGCTCCGCGATAGCCACCACACGAAGTAACGAATAACGAGCCTATCTAAATCCCAGTAATGAGTAACGCATTCCCGGTTTTGGCATAATAACTAGTTACCGCGCTCGTTACCACAATAATAACGTAGTTACTGTAACGCGTTATTTAATAACGCGTTAGTCCCAACACTGGTATCGGCAGATATCCAAATTTATGATATCGGAATCGGTATCGGACATTAAAAAGTGGTATCGTGCCATCTCTAATGCGTACCAAACCGAAAGCTCTGTATCGAACGGTTCAATATCGATACATGTATTGTTGCACCCCTATTAACTACTATAAAGACAATGAAGTGTTGTCTTGTTTCTTAATCTGGAACTCTGTTTAGATATTTGAAGATTTTTTTTTTCATGCATCTACTTCTTAAGAATAAATAAAACTTTTTATTTACTTTGATATCTCTGTGATAGATTTTTTTTTTTTGTGAGCCTCAGTATTATTTTCTTCATTGGAAGGTCATCTTTTTCTCGTCACACTGACAGATGGTTGAAATGACAGCTCTCAAATCTGAACAGTAAAATGTGAACCATCTGTTTGCACTTAAATAAATGAACACTGGAACAACACACAGCTGCCTAATAAACTAAGTGACTAATGGAAAGCTTCACAGTGTGTTTTAGAATGACTAGATTTTGCAAAACCTTCCTTCTATACTTAAGTGAAAAAAACATAATACTAAAAAAATGAAATAAATCAGAAACTGTCAAATGTTTTCAGG